AATGCAATAGAATAATTACAATAACAATAAAATAATTGACACTTACCTTTAATGAAGATCTGGTGATGATTGATGGGATGGGAGGAGGGGAGAGGTGTTAGTGTTTAGAAGGGGAATAACCTTCCATTAGGACTTGAGGTGGCAAGTCCTTTTCCGGGGTTACTTCCCTTCTTCTTTTAATGCCACTAGGACCAGCTTGAGAGTCACTGGACTTCTGTCGCACAACATAACTGGCAGCCTCACCATGCCTAATCACACTATGTATGCCACTACGATTCTTAAATCTTTCAAACCAACCTTTGCTGGCCTTAAATTCACTCACATCACCACTAGTTGCAGGCAATTTCTTTACCAAATCGTCATGCAACTGCCTAGCCTTTTCACAAATGATCGCTTGAGAGATGCTATATCCTGCTATCTGTTTTTCATTTATCCACACCAGTAACAATATCTCAACATTTTCTAACACTTGTGATCGCTGTTTCGTAATCACAGTTGCACCTTTTGCAAGAACAGCTTCCTTAATTGCCGTTTTCCTGGTTGATTGGGGTTTATTATACAACCTGACCAGCTCCAACACACGCACTCCACTTTCGTACTTTGCAATTATCTCTTTCTTCATTTCATAAGTCATTAGCGACTTTTTTCTCGAAGGGTTGGCACTAGAAGCTTTCTTGGGGCCCATGGTGACTTATTTTGCAGAAACAAGCACCAAACACAGTGATAATATGGATAATATGGAATGTACCGAATGTATCCTTAGATGCGCGCACACTGGCTGGCTTGTAAACACTAGCACACACGGAGCAGTTCAGGCCACACGTGGACAGGTCTCGTACGAATCTTATTGAATACCGGGTTTTCAATCGAATACCGAGGAAAATTTTTTGCGTTAAAATGCATCGAAAACCGGATTTATCGAATACCGATGCCATCGAATACCGGGGGTCCACTGTATATATACACACCCCTCTGGCTTTTCTTCTATTTTCTTTCTAGTTCTTGTTCTTGTTTATTTCCTCTTATCTCCATGGGGAAGTGGAACAGAATTCTTCCTCCGTAAGCCATGTGTGTTGTAAGAGGCGACTAAAATGCCAGGAGCAAGGGGCTAGTAACCCCTTCTCCTGTATATATTACTAAATGTAAAAGGAGAAACTTTCGTTTTTCCTTTTGGGCCACCCTGCCTCGGTGAGATACAGCCGGTGTGTTGAAAGAAAGATATATATATATTATACTACATACATACATATACATACAGTGGTACCTCGGTGTACGTCCGCTATGGAATAAGTTCAGCTTAGTATACGTTCTGTTTGGATGCGAAAATTTTTGCTTGTTTACCTCTCTCTCGAGACAAAGCCATGACTGCCCATTGCATAACTCTCATTGACAAAGCCTGGCAGGAAGTTTCATACAGAACAATGAACTCCGCTTGGAGGAATTTGCGGCCAGATGCAGTGGCTGAAAGGGACTTTGAGGGCTTTGAGGCTGTGTCTTTATTGAAGGATATTATCTCTCAGGACAGGTCTATGGGTCTGGATGTGAGTGATGGTGATGTGGAGGAGTTAGTGGAGGGGCACAGGGAAGAGCTGACCACTGAGGAGCTGCAGAAACGTGAGGAGGAAGAGCACAAGACTAAGATGAATTCACTCTCTTCAGGCTCGGAAGAGGAGGAAATCTTTGCCAAATGGATGGATGTCTAAAATTTTGCAGAGAAGTACCACCCTAACAAAGCCCAAACAAGCCGTTTGGAATGACCAGACAATGTCACATTTCTGAAACATCCTGAGGATAAGGCAGAAGCAAAGTTCTTTGAACAGATTTTTAGTAAATGTCAAACCTGGTGAACTTCAACCAGGTCCAGATAGGAAAAAGAGACAAAAAACAGAAGGGGACTCTCCTTCCAAACAATAACATCTCCTCCTCCTCCCTTCTCAGCACTATCCTAGTAGGCACTCGACTCTTTGGAGCAAAGTAAAGTGAGGTTAAATTTGCATTTATTTCATCTAATTCTTTTGTATTTATGTATGTATTTTAGTACTGAGCAGTGTTTAAATTACATATTTAGTATTAAGCAGTTTTAAATTATTTTATACAACCCAATGAATGTATAATATGCCAGTAACAAGAGGATTTTTTTTCATGGTAACAGATTAATTGTTTTCCCTATACATGTATTTCCAATGGGAAAATTCATTTGGTATACATCCTGTTTGGTACAAGTCCAAGGTCCTGGAGCGGATTAAGGACGTATACCGAGGTACCACTGTGTACAAAATATGTAATGTATTGTATTAGGAGATATATTATTTAGAATATTTATTAATTTAGTAATGTGTATATATGAGCTTCCTGGGAAGAGGTGTGGAATGGGTTACAGTGTGCTGTATTTAGAAATGTTACTAGACTTTGGGAAAAGCTTCAGTAAAGTGTTAGGGATTGTATTATAATATTTTAAGTTTTTTTTTTTTTTTGGTGATGTGATCTTGTAATTTTTCAGGTTCGTAAGCATTTCCTGAGGTTTACAGCGCAAGAGCTTCAAGATGCAGAAATGTGGCTTGAGAGTGATGGAACACCTCTTAAATGGTAAACTTTCGTGTTCTTTAGTTCCAAAAATTCTTTCATATTATATTTCATGTTTTGGACTTTTATATTATGCATATTTAGTAATTGTAGGTAGTAGGTTGGTAGACAGCAACCGCCCAGGGAGGTACTACCGTCCTGCCAAGTGAGTGTAAAACGAAAGCCTGTAATTGTTTTACATGATGGTAGGATTGCTGGTGTCCTTTTTTGTCTCATAAACATGCAAGATTTCAGGTATGTCTTGCTACTTCTACTTACACTTAAGTCTCACTACACATACATGTACAAGCATATATATGTATATATACACATCCCTCTGGGTTTTCTTCTATTTTCTTTCTAGTTCTTGTTCTTGTTTATTTCCTCTTATCTCCATGGGGAAGTGGAACAGAATTCTTCCTCCGTAACCCATGCGTGTTGTAAGAGGCGACTAAAATGCCGGGAGCAAGGGGCTAGTAACCCCTTCTCCCGTATAAATTACTAAATTTAAAAAGAGAAACTTTTGTTTTTGTTTTTGGGCCACCCTGCCTTGGTGGGATACGGCCGGTTTGTTGAAAAAAAAAAAAAATATTTAGTAATGTAGTACAGTGGAACCCAGAATATCAGCCTTAATTCGTTCCAGAAGGCTGTACGAGTGCCATTACTGAACGAATTTGTTCCCATAAGGAATAATGTAAATTAGATTAGTCCATTTCAGACCCCCAAAAATACACTTACAAAAGCACTTACAAAAATACACTTACATAGCTGTTCGAGTTGGGAGCTGTTTGAAATTCGAGGTACCACTATAGTTCCCTGACTTACAGCAGTCTGATTTTTAATGATCTGCTCTATGATATTGGTACTTTGGAGCCAAATATTTAATTATGAACAAAGATTCATCCTTCTGAATGGTGAGGCTATTTATGGCTGTTGAAAAGTCACTTCCAATGAGTAAGACTACCGTGGTGTATTCATTAAGGTTAATTTATAAACATTATTTTTTGTTGTCAGCTAGATTTTTACCAAATGCATTGATAGTTTGTGTATATTCATTTTATACATGTGTGAAGAGTTTGTGCTATTTTGGTAGATATTAGTTGAGAGTTGTAGATTTATAAATTATAGACTTTTAAGGCTGAATTTGAATATTATTTTTTCTTTGTTTTCCAAATGCGTTGATCATCTTTGTATGCTCATTTTATGCTTGTCTAGGGAGTTCTTGTTTGTTTGGTAGAGTTTGGTCAATAAATGTAGATTTAAAAATTAAATTTTTGACAAAGCTGAATTATAAATACATACAGTGCATTAGGCAGCACACTGGCCTGCTAGTTTTAGGACTGGCGTGTCATGGGTTTGAACCCAGTGTTTGGTGAGTTATTTCAGACCTCAAAATACCAAGCTCAAACACCCGTCCATCAGACTACCTCATAGGTACCTACCCCAATACGCTATTCCTAGCTCCAACCAACCCACTAGAAGTCTCGCTCATCATCAACACCTTTAAAAACAAGGCAGGTGACATAAACAACTTACCTGCTTTTATGTACAAAAAAGCTTCTCAAGTATTGTCACCAATTATTGTAACACTCTTTAACAAATCCATTGAATCATATACCTTCCCAACAATCCTCAAAATAGCGAGGGTCACTCCAGTCCATAAAGGAGGTGACCAAGCTGACTTGAATAACTATAGACCAATATCTAACTTACCACTGCTCTCTAAAATCTTTGAAAATTAATTTATAGACGGACCTATTCCTACCTCATCTCACACAACATATTAAACCCTTGTCAGTTCAGATTCAGGAATAATAAAAGCACAAATGATGCTATCATACACATGCTAGAACTAATATATACCGCACTAGAAAAGAAAGAAGTCCCGCTGGGCATTTTCATTGATTTACGTAAAGCTTTTGATACAGTCGGCCACGAACTGCTGTACTCCAAGTTAACGCACTATGGTATCAGAGGCCACTCCCTAAACTACCTAAAGTCATACCTTAGTAACAGAACTCAATATGTGTATGCAAATGGTGCAAACTCTTCCACCCAACCACAGTAGGAGTCCCACAAGGAAGTGTCCTTGGACCACTCCTCTTTCTCATCTACATCAATGATCTACCGAATGTATCACAGCTACTCAAACCCATATTATTTGCAGAAAATACAACATACGTCTTCTCCCACCCAAACCCAGTCATACTAGCAAACACTGTCAGTGCCGAATTGCAGAAAATATCTGCCTGGATGATGACTAATAAACTTACCCTGAATACAGATAAACCATATTTCATTCAGTTTGGAAATAAAGCTGCAAATCATCCAATTAACATAACACTAAATGGATCATCAGTCACAAGACTTACAGAGGGAAAATTCCTAGGTATCTACCTTGACTGTAGCCTTAAGTTCCAGACACACATACAACAAATCACCAAGAAAATCTCTAAGACTGTAGGTATACTATCAAAGATAAGGTACTACATTCCACAATCAGCTCTCCTGGCACTGTACCATTCACTCATATACCCTTACCTCACCTACGGAATTTGTGCATGGGGATCAACAACATTCAATCACCTAAGACCTCTAATAACCCAGCAAAAGGCAGCAGTCAGAATGATAACAAATTCCCTCTCCCACCAGCATACTCCACCAGTTTTCAAAAGTTTGAATCTGCTCACCATTAAGAACATCCATACTTATTCATGTGCCTACTACATAACACCGAACAATACACGCAAATGTAAACTCTCCACTCAAACTTCTCACCAACCTTAGCAGGACACATGACCATAACACAAGACACAGATCTCTTTTTGATATACCTCGTGTCCATATCACACTGTGTAGAAAATCTATGCACATAAAGGGCCCCAAAATTTGGAATTCATTACCAGAAGATACTAAAGTAACCCAGTCTGAAAATCAATTTAAGACTCTTCTCAAAAGCCACTTAATCACCCTAGACTAAATGCTAAATACTCAGTACACACATACTCACTTATGTTATTCCAACATCATAATTTCAACAATTACTTCGAACCTTTTATCCATTGTTGACAGGAATATAACTGAATCATTGTTTTCACAAAAGCATTTTTGAATATATGAATATATCTTTTGTCTTATATAAATTAGATTCACTTACAATTAATAATCTACTGTACAACTATGATATAATTAATATTCTGCTGTACAGCTATGCCATAATTCTTAGTGTTAAGTAGTCTGTAAGCCAATAATGTTAAGTTGGCCCATAATGCCTAAGCATAATAGAGGCTCTCTTTGCATTACAACCCATTATTGTAAATACAAAATCTCAATGTACTATTTGCAAAGACATAAATAAATAAATAAATAAATAAATAAATAAATAAATAAATAAATAAACATAATTGATTGGTAAACAAAGGCATGAACCTGAATATGGTAATTTCAGATATTTTTAGCAGGGTGAATGTAAAGAGAATTCGTAGTTTGGAAATTAGGAGAAGGTGTGGGATTACCAAAACTATTATCCAGAGGGCTGAGGAGGGGTTGTTGAGGTGGTTTGGACATTTAGAGAGAATGGAATAAAACAGAATGACTTCGAGAGTGTATAAATCTGTAGTGGAGGGAAGGTGGGGTAGGGGTCGGCCTAAGAAGGGTTGGAGGGAGGGGGTAAAGGAGGTTTTGTGTGCAAGGGGCTTGGACTTCCAGCAAGCATGTGAGAGTGCATTTGATAGGAGTGAATGGAGACAAATGGTTTTTAATACCTGATAGTCTGGTGGAGCGTGAGCAAAGTAACATTTACGAAGGGATTCAGGGAAACCAGCAGGCTGGACTGGAGTCCTGGAGATGGGAAGTACAGTGTCTGCATTCTGAAGGAGGGGTGTTAATGTTGCAGTTTTATAATGGTAGTGTAAAGCACCCCTCTGGCAAGACAGTGATGGAGTGAATGATGACGAAAGTTTTTTTTTTGGGGGGGGGGCCACCCTGCCTTGGTGGGAATTAGCCGATGTGTTAATAAATAAAAATTATATTATGCCACATTTCACCCATATTGGGGCTTTATAAGGTACATAAAAATAGGTAAAAACATTGGCTAATAAATCATACAATCACTCTGGAATCAGGTCAGGTGGTGGAGAGGTCAGTGGTGATGAAAGTCAGGTGATACCATGAACCATGAGAGGGCAGAGCCTGGATCTGGGCATTAGGTTGAGGAGTTCTATGTTTTAGATCTTGCTAGTACAGTTATGTAGCAAGCCACCCCTCCCTGGTGATTTCCAGATAAAGGAGTAAGCCCTCACCCGCCTCACCACTCTGTTAGTTACCATTTTGTCCTAGGCACATGTCGATTAGACACTAGGCCTGTTGTATATGAGTACGTGTGTGTGTGTGTGTGTGTGTGTGTGTGTGTGTGTGTGTGTGTGTGTGTGTGTGTGTGTGTGTGTGTGTGTGTGTGTGTGTGTATGTATGTGTGTGTATGTCTGTGTGTGTGTATATGTGTGTGTGTATGTGTGTGTATGTGTGTGTGTATGTGTGTGTGTGTGTGTGTGTGTGTGTGTGTATGTGTGTGTATATGTGTGTGTGTGTGTGTGTGTATGTACTCACCTAGTTGTACTCACCTAGTTGAGGTTGCGGGGGTCGAGTCCAAGCTCCTGGCCCCGCCTCTTCACTGATCGCTACTAGGTCACTCTCCCTGAACCGTGAGCTTTATCATACCTCTGCTTAAAGCTATGTATGGATCCTGCCTAAACTACATTGCTTCCCAAACTATTCCACTTACTGACTACTCTGTTAGTTGTGTGTATGTGTGTGTGTATGTGTGTGTGTGTGTGTGTATGTGTGTGTGTGTGTATGTGTGTGTGTATGTGTGTACTCACCTATTTGTGGTTGCAGGGGTCGAGTCACAGCTCCTGGCTATGTATGGATCCTGCCTCCACTACATTGCTTCCCAAACTATTCCACTTACTGACTACTCTGTTAGTTGTGTGTATGTGTGTGTGTATGTGTGTGTGTGTGTGTATGTGTGTGTATGTACTCACCTAGTTACTCACCTAGTTGAGGTTGCAGGGGTCGAGTCCAAGCTCCTGGCCCCGCCTCTTCACTGGTCGCTACCCTGAACCATGAGCTTTATGATACCTCTGCTTAAAGCTATGTATGGATCCTGACTCCACTACATCGCTTCCCAAACTATTCCACTTACTGACTACTCTGTGGCTGAAGAAATACTTCCTAACATCCCTGTGATTCATCTGTGTCTTCAGCTTCCAACTGTGTCCCCTTGTTACTGTGTCCAATCTCTGGAACATCCTGTCTTTGTCCACCTTGTCAATTCCTCTCAGTATTTTGTAAGTCGTTATCATGTCCCCCCTATCTCTCCTGTCCTCCAGTGTCGTCAGGTTGATTTCCCTTAACCTCTCCTCGTAGGACATACCTCTTAGCTCTGGGACTAGTCTTGTTGCAAACCTTTGCACTTTCTCTAGTTTCTTTACATGCTTGGCTAGGTGTGGGTTCCAAACTGGTGCCGCATACTCCAATATGGGCCTAACGTACACGGTGTATAGGGTCCTGAACGATTCCTTATTAAGATGTCGGAATGCTGTTCTGAGGTTTGCTAGGCGCCCATATGCTGCAGCAGTTATTGGTGATGTGCGCTTCAGAGATGTGCCTGGTGTTATACTCACCCCAAGATCTTTTTCCTTGAGTGATGTTTGTAGTCTCTGACCCCCTAGACTGTACTCCATCTGCGGTCTTCTTTGCCCTTCCCCAATCCTCATGACTTTGCACTTGGTGGGATTGAACTCCAGGAGCCAGTTGCTGGACCAGGTCTGCAGCCTGTCCAGATCCCTTTGTATTTCTGCCTGGTCTTCGATCGAATGAACTCTTCTCATCAACTTCACGTCATCTGCAAACAGTGACACCTCGGAGTTTATTCCTTCCGTCATGTCGTTCACAAATACCAGAAACAGCACTGGTCCTGGGACTGACCCCTGTGGGAACCCCACTGGTCACAGGTGCCCACTCTGACACCTCGCCTCGTACCATTACTCTCTGCTGTCTTCCTGACAAGTATTCCCTGATCCATTGCAGTGCCTTCCCTGTTATTCCGTTTGGTCCTCCATTTTTGCACTAATTCTCTTGTGGGTACTGTGTCAAACGCCTTCTTGCAGTCAAAAGAAAATGCAATCCACCCACCCCTCTCTCTCTTCTCTTACTGCTGTCACCATGTCATAGAACTCCAGTAGGTTTGGTGACACAGGATTTCCCGTCTTGAAACCATGTTGTCTGCTGGTGATGAATCATTCCTTTCTAGATGTTCCACCATTCTTCTGACAATCTTTTCCATGATTTTGCATGCTATACATGTCAGTGACACTGGTCTGTAGTTAGTGCTTCATGTCTGTCTCCTTTTTTAAAGATTGGTACCACATTTGCTGTCTTCCATGCCTCAGGCAATCTCCCTTTTTCGAAAAGATGTATTGAATTGTTGTTAGGGGTACACATAGCGCCTCTGCTCCCTCTCTCAGGACCCATGGAGAGATTTTTACTGGCCCCATTGCCTTTAGGTATCTAGCTCACTCAGAAGCCTCTTCACTTCTTCCTCGGTTGTGTGTACTGTGTCCAGCACATGGTGGTGTACCCCACCTCTCCGTCTTTCTGGAGCCCCTTCTGTCTCCTCTGTGAACACTTCTTTGAATCTCTTGTTGAGTTCCTCACATACTTCACTGTCATTTATTGTTGTCTGTCCTCCTTCCTTCCTTAGCCTGATTACCTGGTCTTTGACGGTTGTTTTCTTCCTGATGTGGCTGTATAACAGCTTCGGGTCAGATTTGGCTTTTGCTGCTATGTCGTTTTCATATTGACGTTGGGCCTCCCTTCTTATCTGTGCATATTCGTTTCTGGCTCTACGACTGCTCTCCTTATTCTCCTGGGTCCTTTGCCTTCTATATTTCTTCCATTCCCTAGCACACTTGTTTTTTGCCTCCTTGCATCCTGGCTTTTTCATTATTCCTGTTACCCTTGGGTACAAACCTCTCCTCAGCCTCCTTGCACATTGTGACTACATATGTGTGTGTGTGTGTGTGTGTGTGTGTGTGTATTTGTGCATGTGTGTGTATGTGTATGTGTGTGTGGTGTGTGTGTGTGTGTGTGTGTGTTGGTGTTTGTATGTGTGTTTTGTGGGGTGTTTTGTGTGTGTGTCTGTGAAGTGTGAGTTACATGTAGTGACGTCAAGAAAATGTGAGTGAAATCATGATTTCACGTGACTCCTGTGTTGTGAGGCAGGTTGGGCTTAGCCTGGTTGAATATCACAAGAACATATGAACATCAGGCTGGAGGAACACTACAGCAGCCCTACCAGCCAATCCTAGGCCGGTAGTTTCCGATATTATAATCCACAGCATCAGTGACGGCGATCAGCAAGGCTTCTAGGTGTGTGGTGTGTGTGTGTGTGTGTGGGGTGGGGGTGTGTGTTTGTGTGTGTTTTATCCTCGTTTCTTTGAAAAAGAGGGGGGGGGTCACGTTAACACACTATTATTATTGTTTGTGTGTGTCTGTGTGTGCGTGCGCCCGTGTGTGTGTCTGTGTGTCCGTGTGTGTGTCCGTGTGTGTGTCCGTGTGTGTGTCTGTGTGTGTGTCTGTGTGTGTCTGTGGTGTGTCTGTGTGTGTGTCTGTTTTGTGTGTGTGGGTGTGTGTGTGTCTGTGTGTGTGTCTGTGTGTGTGTCTGTGTGTGTGTCTGTGTGTGTGTCTGCGTGTGTGTCTGCGTGTGTGTCTGCGTGTGTGTCTGTGTGTGTGTTGTCTGTGTGTGTGTGTCTGTGTGTGTGTGTCTGTGTGTGTGTCTGTGTGTGTGTCTGTGTGTGTGTCTGTGTGTGTGTCTGTGACGAATAACCCACGTGGGTTTTAACTTTTATATACATGTATATGTACAGTGGTTCTTCATACCTGATATATTTTTTATCCAGTATATTACAGTTTCTTTATGTTTTTAGTTAACAGATACTGTTTCTCCCAACATGAGTAATTTTTTATCTTCACATTGTACAACAACATCTACCATAGGGTATGCATTGCCAGTTGGAGTTTTATTTATGCAGTTTTAGGATTGTCAATTTCATCTTTTGTTACAATCTAATAATAAAATACATTTAGATTTTGTAATGCCATTTTATATTTCCTCCATAAAATGAAATTGTTGAGCATTGTAATATAAATGGACATATTAATAATAAATACTTCCCACTAAATAAAAGTCCCCACTTTGTTGACAAATTTAGGCTCTTATTGCATTTTATTTTGATATATGAATAATCTTAATGATGTAGCATTATTTTTTTTAGCTCCACTGTTTTCCTCAGGCACTATCCAGTTGGTGTATTGTTTGACCTTCAGTGTGGAGGGTCAGCACTGCCTTGGTGTCTCACTGCTCACTTCTCTCACTTTCCTGAACAAGATCTTATCAGATGTCAAACCAGGTTTGCTTTTTGCTTCTTTTTTTTTCTACACCATGGTGACATATAAGGCATTTTATTGTTAATATGCAATTAATAAAAGTGAGTGAGCAAATGCATGCTGAATGAACTAAAATAATATCTTTGATTAAGAATGTAATAATGCACTGTGTTTAAATTTGTTGTAATGTACTGACTGTAGACATCTTAGGAAGTGGTGTCTTATTTCAGCATTATACAAACAAAGAACTTGCTCATGTAGTGATACAGGGTTGCGGTGGATTCTGTATATTCTGTCTGGTAATACAGAACAGTACAGTACTAATTAGGTTTAGTATTAATAATTAGGTTTAGATATCAAAGTCTCTGTGCAGTAACTTTGACAGTGCTCTTCATAGTGACCTGCAACTGTCAGTGAATATGTATGAGTCAAACGAAGATTAGTATGATTACTGAGTAGTATCACCCCAATTTGACATTTCTGGAACCAATTATTTCATCAGAACCACACCAAACCTGCTACACACCTCTAACCCCTAAGTCGTGCTATTTTAATCTTGGATGCAAAGTATAGGGCAGAAAGTTTTTGGATTAAATCTAGATGTCCAACTTGACATGACATGGTCTTTTAAGCATGCTGGAAAGTTGAAATGATTCCTCTCCTGACATGAAATTAAAGCAGTAGTGTGGTATGTCCCTTGACCATTTGGGAAGTCAAGATATAGGCAGATGAATCTCTCTATCCTAACATTGTTGGACCTCTACATGAATATTTGTATTCTTCTGGATTGTTTGACATAAGCAAAAATGTTTGATCTGCTGCATTTAAGGGTTTGCTATGTAGGGTTTTGCTCATGGCTTGTTATAAGAACTTTGCTGTCTTCTTGATTATTGAATTGCTAGGTGAAACAGATGAGTAATATTCTAGTGTCAATGCTGAAGTACTTTGAGTTTTCCACCTTCCACTTTGCAGCCATCATCACTATAATTATGGTGCTGGTTGTATGATTCCTAGTAGTTTATTGATGTTTTATGAACGGAGTTTAGAAGCCAGAATAAGTCCCAGAATGTGTTCTCATTTGGCATATGCACTAATTTTCATAAATATTTAGATAATTTATCATTCCAGACAATTAACCACTAGTAGTGGTCTCTTGCCTTGTTAGGAATTATGCTAACATTTTTCGTTGCTATTATGTTGGTTCAAATTTGGTTTATCACAGAACAGATATCTAGTGATTCTGGTGGGTTTAGTAATTTAAGGTATATATTAAGGAGGAAGGCATGCAGGCTATTCAGGAAATGGAAATTTGTGGATCATTGGATTAGCAAAGCTTAATATGGATATCACTAAGTATTATTAGGCGTTAATGTTTCTGAGGTTGTTACTGAAGCTTAAAATTTTGAAATGTGAGGGTTCTGCACCTGCATGTAGCTTCATTTGCTATTAAAGCTATAATTTTACGCGTAGTAGTTTATGTAAATATGTTACTATGTAAATACATTATCCATGGAGGCAAAGAAGGGAATGTTTGAGAGTATAGTGGTACCAACACTCTTGCATGGGTGTGAAGCATGGGTTATAAATGTTGCAGTGAGGAGGAGGCTGGAGGCAGTGGAGATGTCATGTCTAAGGGCAATGTGTGGTGTAAATATTATGCAGAGAATTCGCAGTGTAGAAATTAGGAGGAGGTTTGGAGTTACTAAAAGTATTAGCCAGAGGGCTGAAGAGGGGTTGTTGAGGTGGTTTGGTCATTTAGAGAGAATAGAACAAAGTAGAATGACTTGGAGAGCATATAAATCCGTAGGGTATATAAGGAGGGGTAGGGGTTATCCTCGAAAAGGTTGGAGGGAGGGGGTAAAGGAGGTTTTCTGGGTGAGGGGCTTGGACTTCCAGCAAGTGTGAGTGAACATTTTAGATAGTGAATGGAGACGAATGGCTTTTGGGACCTGATGAACTGTTGGAGTGTGAGCAAGGTAATATTTTGTGAAGGGATTCAGGGAAACTGGTTAGAAAGACATGAGTCCTGGAGATGGGAGGGGTTTGGGACATTGGCAGTTTGGAGGGACATCTAAACTGTTGTATCTGAACACTTCTACAAAGACAGTGATTATGTATGAGTGATGGTGAAAGTGTTGAGTGATGATGAAAGTTTTTTCTTTCATTTTGGGTTTTTCTTTCTTTTTGGGTCACCCTGTCTTGGTGGGAAATGGCCTACATGTTAAAAAAAAAAAATTCTTTAAGTGCATCCTGAGTATTTATAACATTTTTAAAATGCATCTGATTACCATAGGTTGCTATAACTCCTTCTTAGTAAGTCTACAGCAGTGGTTTCCATTAGTTTTTGGTCCATGACCCAAAATTTGAAATTTCATTTTCTAAGTGTCTTAAATGGCACTGACATCTACTTAACACCTAGCAAATTGTTGTACATTTATAACTTAATGCTGTATTAAAGAAAATACAATAATTTGAAAATGATTTTAGACACAGTCATTTAATTTATTCTTGGGTTGCAGCTCTAGGTGAGAATATGTAGTATATGTGAGAAAATGTATATGTAGGTATCTTATATATCTCTGCTTAGCCAGAATGTTTGTATTACAAATGAAAATTGGGTATTTAAAAATTCTAGTTGGCCATTAGTTGATATCATAATTGAATGCATATATACAGTACTGTTGTTATTAATAAGGACATTTTTTCAGAGATCTGCTATAAAATGCAGTTTTGATCAGTAATATTCAAATTAATAAGGGAGACTCTTGACCTTATGGCTAAGACCTAACAATACACCAAAAGAGGAGTACATGAGTTATACTTATTAAAACTAATGCTAAAGCATACTGTAGCTTGAGTTTTTATTTGTAGGATGGGGTAAAAAGAGAGCTCCTAGTCAAATACTAACAGAAATATACATAACACTGGTAGGCAGGGCTAGGGTTAGGATGTTGAATATAGACTGTACTGTGTTCATTATTGTTTACTATATATAAATCAGCATCAGAGAAAAAGAGTTGGATACTTGGCTCTTTTTTACAGGTCATTTCTTATCTTCTATTCAGAAGGTGTTCAGTTCACCTATGACTGCTTACATTCTGCAGCTAAATCTGATTTGGCTTACCAGGCGTATATCTTTTACGACAGGTCAATTGAGCAATGTTGTTAAAGTTGTTTATGTGTTCTTAGCAAAAAATAGTAGCTATATAGTCATTTTATATCAAATTTCACAGGGAAGTGGTGGAATCTCATTTCATGTCATCTCTAAAGGAAGCTGATGGGCTAAAACATAGAGGGCAAATCATCACCAACATGCAGGGTAAAGACCACAAGCAGCTATGGATGGGGCTGTGCAATGGTAAGTACTATATGGGTTCTTGGTATCATCATTTTTTTAATATGATGTATATTTCATACATATTACTTTGAGCTATTGAGTTGAAAAGTGTACTATATATGGTAAAACTTAATTTAGAATTCCCTGCTTTTTTGCATTATTGTAACGTGCTTTCTTTATGGTAACTAAATATTTAATCAGCACGTGGAAAGGTGTATGAGAGAGAGAGATTGAGATTCAAACTTTTAAAACGGACTGCTGTGCACATGTGCATACAGCACCTCTTGCCATTACCACCACCACTTACATTACAGTTAATTTGCAGCAGCATGCTTCAAATGATCAAGGCCTAATTATTAATAACAAGGGATTTTATGAAGTTTCTTTAGTTATCTACATCACTCTTTCTCATCACTGCCTATTAATCATGACACCCAGGAACATTGCTAGTGATACTGCACGTTAAATATGCAAAAGTCTGGCAATAATTAAAACAATAGTGATGACAAACTTTTAAACTCTGGGTATTAAATCTTTAAACATTTGATGCTTTCCATGAATATATTATTTGAATATTCATACATTTAGAATGCTTGTGGAAGTGCATGTGATTTTTGTGTCTTACTAGTAACCAATTTGATAATGGGTTTATTAGTTGTGTCAGTGATGTCTAGTGAATTCTTTAAACGTTTGTAGATTTACATGTGCAGTACTGTATTTTATTAGTACAGAATGTTTTGAACTTTGTACATATGTTCACAAATCTTTTCAGCATTTTCCATTGTTTACCTACCAGGTACTTTATTTTTTTTGAGGGGGGTTATTCATTTTGTGTAGTGCATTTTTATGATGCCCAAAGACTCAGAAACTAAACTCATGTGTGAGGCACCACACATTTATTGATTTTTTAATTTTTCTTTATCTGAATTTCAGGGCTAAGTAATTTGTGGAAATGGGGTAAGTCACATCTCATTGTAATTATGATTTCTGTGTGTATGTTGTATCCAAAGGAATTTTAGTCTCATTATATATCTCTTCAAATGTTTTACTTGCTTCTACAAGTACATGATACACTAACATGAACTCATGTTAGTGTATCATGTACTTGTAGAATCAAGATTATTATGATTTTTTTTAACACACCAGCTGTATCACCCCGAGGCAGGGTGACTCAAAATGAAAAGCGAAAGTTTTTCTTTTTAAAATATTGGAAGAAGGGGTAAGGGAGGTTTTGTGGGTGAGGGGCTTGGACTTCCAGCAGGTGTGCATGAGCGTGTTCGATAGGAGTGAATGGAGACAAATGGTATTTGGGACCTGACGATCTGTTGGAGTGTGAGCAGGATAATATTTAATGAAGGGATTCAGGGAAACCGGTTATTTTTATATAGCCGGACTTGAGTCCTGGAAATGGGAAGTACAATGCCTGCACTCTAAAGGAGGGGTTCGGGATATTAGCAGTTTGGAGGGATATGTTGTGTATCTTTATACGTATATGATTCTAAACTGTTGTGTTCTGAGCACCTCTGCAAAAACAGTGATTATGTGTGTGAGGTGAAAGTGTTGGATGATGATGAAAATATTTTCTCTTTGGGGATTTTCTTTCTTTTTGGGTCACCCTGCCTCTGTGGGAGATGGCCGACTTGTTAAAAAAAAAAAAAAGTGGTTTATTATCCCTATTATATTTTGATACATTATAAAACATTTCCCTGTTTCAGATAAATTTGACCAATTTTGGGCAATAAATCGAAAATTAATGGAGTGTACTCCAGAGGAAGGGTTCAAGCATATTCCCTTTCGCTTACACTCTAATTGCCAACCACCACTTCAGAGACTTATTAAACCCATAGCAGAAGATGGTCGGAAGATGACATTAGGAGATCTCCTTCATGAATTTCTGCCCAGTGCCATAAATGAAGGTAGAATGTAGTTAGGTATCCCCAGAAAGGAAATACCCTCTGGAGATAACTGAATGTGTTCCTTACAGTTACCGCTCAGTAATTTGAGAATGCTTCTTGGGCTATATCTAAAACTTTCTACTGATGGTGTATCTTAGTAAAACAAAGGCCTGTACTGTTGTGTTGTTGGCTGTAATTACCTTTTTGTTGTTATAGGAGTAGAATTAAGCTCATGGTAATTAGTCTTCGGTATTTAATCTAGCACATACATCCTCTTATAACATCTTCCATTATTCTGGCACTCCATATTTCCCAGTTTTAGAGTGAATTGTTTTTGGGTATCCCACTTGGTTCTTGAGAGCAATAATAAATTCACATAAACTCAACAACACTTATTTTCTAACTACCAGTTGATACTTTGGATAGTCTTAAATCAAAGGCAGGAGGCAGTTTTTTGCTTATAAAAACGGCATTTTTATATATAATTTCTTTTTGATATTGTACTGTATCTCACACATGCCTCAAGATAATCACTTCCAATTTTGCATGTGGGCACCTTAGGATAGTATCCAAACACCATTAAATATTAAAAAAAATAAAACATTGTTATTTGTTTTTTCTTACAGTTTATTCATTGTAATTCTTTCAAATCTAGTCATACAAATTTTTGTAAATACCAGAAATTTCTTCTATGGCAGTAGTATACTTTATATAGTTATGTAGTCGTCTGGCCAGTCTTAATCTGGGAAACTTATGTAAAACTCTTCAATATTAATTGACTAATATCATTGTAAGTTTGTTTAATGTAAAATATGTTTACAGGTGACAGAGTCGTTATTCAAGGCATTGAGGCACCACAAGATACCCCTTTACAGTGGTTAAGTGAACACCTGAGTCATCCAGATAACTTTCTCCACATTTGTTATATCACAGCTCAGACTTGAACTGTCTGTTGTGTTTAAGTATTGATAGATGTTAATTATTTTTAATCTTTTTTTTATTATTTTTTTTTTATTATCACACTGGCCGATTCCCACCAAGGCAGGGTGGCCCGAAAAAGAAAAACTTTCACCATCATTCACTCCATCAGTGTCTTGCCAGAAGGGTGCTTTACACTACAGTTTTTAAACTGCAACATTAACACCCCTCCTTCAGAGTGCAGGCACTGCACTTCCCATCTCCAGGACTCAAGTCCGGCCTGCCGGTTTCCCTGAACCCCTTCATAAATGTTACTTTGCTCACACTCCAACAGCACGTCAAGTATTAAAAACCATTTGTCTCCATTCACTCCTATCAAACACGCTATTCATAACATCAGCAATCATCTGTTTCTTGTCATCCGCACTACATCCACGCACATTTAGGCATCCCAGTTTTATAAAGTTTTTCTTCTTCTCTTTTTTAGTAAATGTCTACAGGAGAAGGGGTTACTAGCCCATTGCTCCCGGCATTTTAGTCGCCTCATACGACACGCATGGCTTACGGAGGAAAGATTCTTTTCCACTTCCCCATGGACAATAGAAGAAATAAAAAGGAACAAGAGCTATTTAGAAAAAGGAGAAAAACCTAGATGTATGTATATATATATGCATGTGCGTGTCTGTGAAGTGTGACCAAAGTGTAAGTAGGAGTAGCAAGATATCCCTGTTATCTAGCGTGTTTATGAGACAGAAAAAGAAACCAGCAATCCTACCATCATGCAAAACAGTTACAGGTTTCTGTTTCACAGTCATCTGGCAGGACGGTAGTACTTCCCTGGGTGGTTGCTGTCTACCAACCTACTACCTATATTTTTAATCTTATAGTACAGTATTGTGTTATGATGTACAGTAATTAATTTGTTATATTTTCTACATTTGTTTTCAGTGTAAAAAAGAGCATATTTACAATACACAATTTATACATTAATTTATTGTTGCAAAATATAATATTTACACTGTAGTAATTCTTTATTTTTCCTTAAATGTAACTTGAAGCTTTATAACCATGAAAATAATGGAAGTAAACAGTTCTCTTTTCTCTTGATAGCTTGGTTTTATTGGGGTTTCATAACAATTGAGGTCTGTGTTTATCAAGATTTTTAATACATTACAGCAAAAGCAGTAGGCCACTAATAACTGGAGAAGGACATAGATAATAACAAGTTTACAGTTATTTTGAATATGTTGATACAGAAGAGTGAGGCAGAAACAGTGCAGTATATATTTGCATTTTTAAATGAGGTTAACTTTTTACAGTAACCCAGCAATTTAGCTCAATCTAGCTTAAAAATAATTTATATGAGATTTCCATTCATAGTTTAATGCTGTTGCTCGGTTCTATTTTGTTGGTTTTCGTAGCCTGAAGTAATGACTAATCGGGACAAGTGGGGGCATTCGTATTGCGACGCTAGAGGTGAAATTCTTGGATCGACGCAAGATGAACTACTGCGAAAGCATTTGCCAAAGATGTTTTCATTAATCAAGAATGAAAATTAGAGGTTCGAAGGCGATCAGATACTGCCCTAGTTCTAACCATAAACAATGCCAACTAGCGATCCGCCAGCGTTAATCCCATGACCCGGTGGGCAGCTTCAGGGAAACCAAAGTTTTTGGGTTCTGGGGGAAGTATGGTTGCAAAGCTGAAAATTAAAGGAATTGATGGAAGGGCACCACCAGGAGTGGAGCCTGCGGCTTAATTTGACTCAACAATGGAAACCTCACCAGGCCCAGACACCGGAAGGACTGACAGATTGAGAGCTCTTTCTCGATTCAGTGGGTGGTGGTGCATGGCCGTTCTTAGTTGGTGGAGTGATTTGTCTGGTTAATTCCGGTAACGAATGAGACTCTAGCCTATTAACTAGTTGATGGATCTCCAGGGCCAGTGAGGCTTTTGATCTAGGGTAATTGGAGCTACCCTCCTTTTTCTTGGATAAAATCTGCGGGAAATGGAGAATGTGTTAAAAAGAAATGCCATTCCTTAGGTGCAGTATGATTCTTATGGATAGTCCTTCATAATGACTAATAGTTAATGCTTGATTGTAAGATATGAAATCATTCAAAAATTTCCTCAGAAATTTAGATTTCATACAAGTTTTGGTACCGGTATCCATTATTGTCTGCTTTCCTCTCAACTATTAAAAATATTTAGAGAATAATCTGCTAGTATGTACTTGCATAGTTAAAATATTGACTAAGGAAGATTGGCATATGTGTACAGTGACTGTAAGGATGTATTAAAGGAAAGAACTTTTTTACAGTTATTAATAATACTGTACAGGTAAAATCAAGTCTCCATACATAGGCTGAGTAGTCACTTTATTATATCACTTGTAAGTCACAAAATATGCCATATGTGGGCAGCACTAACCTCTGTATATGGATACTTTTGACTCATGATGATGAGTATAGCTAGTTAAAATATATAGATATAACTTCTATAAAAAATGACATTGTGCTGTTGTTGCAAAAGGGTAGATATGCTGACAAAAAAGAGATTGCAAATCCTCAAAGAAGTGGAAAGGTTATTGTTGGTGTGGATTACCCAAAAACAGTTAGCAGGAGATAGTATTATGCAGTCGATAATATGTGAAAAGTTGCATGACGATCTCATAAAGAAAATGCCTGCAACGAGTGGTGATGCTTGTGATTTTAAGGCCAGCAAAGGTTGGTTTGAGAGATTTAAGAATCGTAGTGGCATTCACAGTGTGATAAGGCATGGTGAGGCTGCCAGTTCTGACAAAAAAACAGCTGAGAAGTTTGTACAGGAGTTTAAGGAGTGCGTAGACACTGGAGAATTCAAACCCCAACAAGTGTTTAATTGTGACAAAACAGGCCTTTTGGAAGAAAATGCCAAACAGGACCTACATCACGCAGGAGGAAACGGCACTCTCAGGACACAAGCCTATGATGGATAGGCTTACTCTCATGTTTTGTAGTAATGCTAGTGGGGATTGCAAAGTGAAGCCTTTACTGGTGTATCACTGAAAATCCCAGAGTGTTGAAGAAAAACAGTGTCACCAAGAGTAATTTGTGTGTGATGTGGAAGGCTAACAATAAGGCATGGGCCACAAGGGGCATTTTCCTAGACTGGTTTAATGAAGTGTTTGGCCCCAGTGTGAAGAAATGCCTCCTGGAAAATAAATTGCCACTCAAGTGCCTTCTGGTAATGGACAGTGCTCCTGCTCATCCTCCAGACTTGGAAGAGCAAATAGCGGAGGAGTTTAGTTTCATCACGGTGAAGTTCTTGCCCCCTAATACAACTCCTCTCATCCAGCTCATGGACCAGCAGGTCATTTCAAACTTCAAAAAACTGTGCACCAAAGCAGTGTTTCAAAAGTGCTTTGAAGTGACCTCAGACACTGAATTGACCCTAAGAGAGTTCTGGAAAGATCAGTTCAATATCCTCACTTGCATAAACCTTATAGGTAAGGCTTGGGAAGGAGTGACTTGCAGAACTTTGAATTCTGCTTGGAGAAAATTGTGGCCAGAATGTGTACAAGAGAGGGATTTTGAAGGGTTTGGGGCTGACCCTAAGGAGTCTATGCCAGTTGTGGAATCTATTGTGGCATTGGAGAAGTCCCTGGGGTTGGAGGTGAATGGCGAGGATGTGGAAGAGTTGGTGGAGGACCACAGGGAAGAGCTAACCACTGAAGAGCTGCAAGAGCTTCATCTGCAACAGCAAGAGATCACAGCTCAGGAAATTGCTGCAGAGGAGGAGGAAGAGAGATGGAGGAAGGTGCCTTCTTCAAAGATTAAGGACATTTGTGCAAAGTGGACTGAAGTACAAACATTTATGGATGAACTTCACCCTGACAAAGCTGTTGCAGGCCGTATTGGCAACATGTACAATGACAGTGTTGTGTCCCACTTCAGACAAATCTTAAAGAAACGCCAGAAACAGAGCTCTCTGGACAGATATTTTGTGCGACAGGGGTCCAATGACTCTCAAGTTGTTCCCAGTGTCTTTAAAAAACAAAGAAGGGAAGTAACCCCAGATAAGGACTTGGTACCTGAAGTCCTAATGGAAGGAGATTCTCCTTCCAAACAATAGTGTACACCTTCTTTTTATCCCCTCCCGTCTTCCATCCACCCAGAAGTCTTCAGTAAAGGTAAGTGTAATGTTATTATTATTTTATATATGTATGTACTTGATTTCTCATTGTTTTCAGTATGTAAATCTTTATTTAATTTGAAAAAAAAAAAATTTTATTTTAATATTTTTGGGTGTCTGGAACGGATTAATTTTATTTCCATTATTTCTTATGGGGAAAATGGTTTCGCCATTTGGCAGTTTCGTCATTCGGCAGACTCTCTGGAACGGATTAATCACGAAACTCGGGGGGGGGGGGGGGGTCCACTGTACATGTATAATAATTTTGTGACAATATTGAGCTAAAACACACAAGCCTTTATTACTCAAGATGTTCTTAATCATATTAGTGCTATTTAAATGATTTTATGTTGTTGGGAAATATACCAGTATAACTGTATACCATTAAGAACAAAATTAAATTCTATGTATGGTATTTTGTTTTTTACACAAATCAATTTTACAGGCTGAGCTGTTATCCTGTCTCAGTTCATTTCAGAGCCCAGCCCCATGTAAGGTATACTACCATGCCCCAGGATGCAACCCACAACAGTGGATTAACACCCAGGTACCTACTTACTGCTAGGTGAACAGGAGCAGTAGGTGTAAGGAAACATGACCAATGTTTCCACCTGTGCAAGGGATCAAGCCATGGACACTCAGTATGTGAGCTCAGTGTGGTGCCAACTGAACCGCGGGACACCCCTTCTATTCTTGACATCATACAACCACCATAAAAAATAACAGTGAATAGGAAATAGAAAATAATTACAGAAAATCTCCCAGCCAGACTGAAAGCTGCCTCATCTATTCCCCTCTCCTTAGGGGCAGAGTTTACCTGGAGAGAGTTCCGGGGGTCAATGCCCCCGCGGCCCGGTCTGTGACCAGGCCTCCTGGTGGATCAGAGCCTGATCAACCAGGCTGTTACTGCTGGCTGCACGCAAACCAACGTACGAGCCACAGCCCGGCTGATCAGGAACCGACTTTAGGTGCTTGTCCAGTGCCAGCTTGAAGACTGCCAGGGGTCTGTTGGTAATCCCCCTTATGTATGCTGGGAGGCAGTTGAACAGTCTCGGGCCCCTGACACTTATTGTATGGTCTCTTAACGTGCTAGTGACACCCCTGCTTTTCATTGGGGGGATGTTGCATCGTCTGCCAAGTCTTTTGCTTTCGTAGTGAGTGATTTTCGTGTGCAAGTTCGGTACTAGTCCCTCTAGGATTTTCCAGGTGTATATAATCATGTATCTCTCCCACCTGCATTCCAGGGAATACAGGTTCAGGAACCTCAAGCGCTTCCAGTAATTGAGGTGTTTTATCTCCGTTATGCGCACCGTGAAGGTTCTCTGTACATTTTCTAGGTCAGCAATTTCACCTGCCTTGAAAGGTGCTATTAGTGTGCAGCAATATTCCAGCCTAGATAGAACAAGTGACCTGAAGAGTGTCATCATGGGCTTGGCATCCCTCGTTTTGAAGGTTCTCATTATCCATCCTGTCATTTTTCTAGCAGATGCGATCGATACAATGTTATGGTCCTTGAAGGTGAGATCCTCCGACATGATCACTCCCAGGTCTTTGACGTTGGTGTTTCGCTCTATTTTGTGGCCAGAATTTGTTTTGTACTCTGATGAAGATTTAATTTCCTCGTGTTTACCATATCTGAGTAATTGAAATTTCTCATCGTTGAACTTCATATTGTTTTCTGCAGCCCACTGAAAGATTTGGTTGATGTCCGCCTGGAGCCTTGCAGTGTCTGCAATGGAAGACACTGTCATGCAGATTTGGGTGTCATCTGCAAAGGAAGACACAGTGCTGTGGCTGACATCCTTGTCTATGTCAGATATGAGGATGAGGAACAAGATGGGAGCGAGTACTGTGCCTTGTGGAACAGAGCTTTTCACCGTGCCTGCCTCGGACTTTACTCTGTTGACTACTACTCTCTGTGTTCTGTTAGTGAGGAAATTATAGATCCATCGACCGACTTTTCCTGTTATTCCTTTTGCACGCATTTTGTGCGCTATTACGCCATGGTCACACTTGTCGAAGGCTTTTGCAAAGTCTGTATATATTACATCTGCATTCTTTTTGTCTTCTAGTGCATCTAGGACCTTGTCATAGTGATCCAATAGTTGAGACAGACAGGAGCGACCTGTTCTAAACCCATGTTGCCCTGGGTTGTGTAACTGATGGGTTTCTAGATGGGTGGTGATCTTGCTTCTTAGGACTCTTTCAAAGATTTTTATGATATGGGATGTTAGTGCTATCGGTCTGTAGTTCTTTGCTGTTGCTTTACTGCCCCCTTTGTGGAGTGGGGCTATGTCTGTTGTTTTTAGTAACTGTGGGACGACCCCCGTGTCCATGCTCCTTCTCCATAGGATGGTAAAGGCTCGTGATAGGGGCTTCTTGCAGTTCTTGATGAACACGGAGTTCCATGAGTCTGGCCCTGGGGCAGAGTGCATGGGCATGTCATTTATCGCCTGTTCGAAGTCATTTGGCGTCAGGATAACATCAGATAGGCTTGTGTTAACCAAATTCTGTGGCTCTCTCATAAAAAATTAATTTTGATCTTTGACTCTCAGTCTGGTTAGTGGCTTGCTAAAAACTGAGTCATATTGGGACTTGAGTAGCTCACTTATTTCCTTGCTGTCATCTGTGTAGGACCCATCTTGTTTAAGTAAGTGTTGACATAACTATCATCTGTCTGTTGTAGTAAGTCCTGTGGTGTTGCCATCTACTGCTGCTGCTATACCTTCTAGGAAGTGCTTGATGGATGTTTCAAGACTTAATAATTTAAAGGCTTAGGGGATGTCAGCTGGTCATTTTATTCACAGTTGAGTGTATAACAGATGACTCCACATCCACACCTGTTGGATTTCATAACTCTGTGGACTAGTCTTTGATCCACACCTGAAATATAAGCATATGTTGTGTGTTAATCATATTTCTCATTGCTTCCTTCCAATAATTTGAATATCTGCACTCTCTGTGACACAGCATCCTATAGTGCATATCCACCCTGTGATATAGCCTAGACTTGGGCATAGTTGAGTAGCTGACTTATCATAGCTAGTTGTGTCAGTATAACCTTTATCTCATAGGAGCATGTTGAGGTACTGCAGGAGAGCCATGGAGACAGCCTCTGCTTGCAGGTTTCCATTTTTCTGATGCAGTTGCAAATCCAATTAATCATGCAGGAATTTCTTGACAGGGGTTGGGAAGGTGTCCACTTCAGGCATACCTTCCCAGAAAACCTGTACATTATCATTGCCCAAAGACTCTCCTGACCCAGCCCTTTCTCAGACCTGCTACCCAGTCCATGCTAAGAAACCCCTACCAAGCCCTTACCAAAAGACCCTCAACCTAGTTCCTATCCAGAGACCTCCAACTAAGCTTCTGCCCAGAGATAGTGAACCTCTTACTCAGTCCTTGTCCAGAGATAGTGAACCCCTTACTCAGTCCTTGCCCAGAGATAGTGAACCCCTTACTCAGTCCTTGCCCAGAGATAGTGAACCCCTTACTCAGTCCTTGCCCAGAGATAGTGAACCCCTTACTCAGTCCTTGTCCAGAGATAGTGAACCCTTTACTCAGTCCTTGCCCAGAGATAGTGAACCCCTTACTCAGTCCTTGTCTAGAGACAATGAACCCCTTACTTAGTCCTTGCCCAGAGACTGTGAACCCATACTCAGTCCTTGCCCTTGACTCTTACCCTGCCCCTGCCACAGCACAAACATCCTACTCAGCTTCTGCCCACTCAGTGCAATCAAATTGCTCCAAAATACCTAATTACTGGTCCACATGAATCCATACCAACCTATTGCAACTGTAATGTTATGTAAATAATAAGGTGGATTTAATGATATTGGATGCATTACTCACAATGTTTCACTCACATTAGATATCTTTATTAATCACAGTTTCTTCCACACAGTCAATACCTTTATTATCCACAGCATTTTTCCCACACTGTATATCTATTAACCATAGTTTCACCACACAGTAGATACCTTTAGTATCCACACTATATATCTATTAACCATAGCTTCACCACACAGTAGATACCTTTAGTATCCACACTATATATCTATTAAACATAGTTTCACCACACAATAGATACCTTTAGTATCCACAACGTTTCTTCCACGCTAGTTACCTTTATCCCCAGCTTCTCCCACACAGTGGGCACCTTCATCACCCACGTTTCTCCTACAGTGAACTTCTTTATTACCCATAGTGTTTCTCCCACACAGTGGATAACTTTATTACCCCACAACGTTTCTCCCACAGTGAATATCTTTACTGCCCATATTTCTCATACACGGGGTATCTTATTACCCACAGTGTTTCTCCCACACATCACCCCCTCAAGGAAGGTTCCTTGATGCTGGTGAGGGGCTCTTGATCTAGGGAATTGGATCTGTTCTCCAGTTCCCTGAATACCTTCCACATTCCCCCCTCAGGCGCTGTATAACCCTACGGGTTTAGCGCTTCTTGATTATTATAATAAGTTTCTCTCACACAGTGGATACCTTTATTAACTACAACGTTTCCACCATACATCTGGCGAAATGTTAATGAAGATGTGTGCTGTATAGCCCTTGTGGCTTAGCGCTTCTTTTTGATTATAATGATAATAATAATGAAGATGTGTATTGAATATAAGTGTTAGTTACTGTAGCTCCACTATCTAGTTATAATCCTAAATAAATGTTTAAAAACAAATAGTAATAATAATAATAATACAACAACAACTACTACTACTACTAATAATAATTATTATTATTATAAATCAGGTGCCGTTTTAGAGGCATGATCTCTGGTCACTTGTATTGGCCAATCAGCGAACAGGAGGGTAGTGACGTCACGGCGACTAACGTTTAAGGCCCTGGTGGCCACGTTACGCGCAACTCTGCTACTATATCACCTCAGCCACTATTACTTTCTTATTGCTCCATCTTGCTCTTTCCTCTGGTGACAATGGTAGGTACTCAAAATTCTACTTGATGTAAAAGTATGAAACTGATCTTCGATGACTAAAATGGCGTTGGTTTCACGGGGAGGGGGGCATTGATGCAGGTGGGCTATTCTACCGAGGTATTAAGTCGGCATTAATGGCTAGCCTACCCTTCCTTGTATCAAACCTCAGCGCAGTATGACCTTGGCATTATGACTTCATTGGCAATGTCACTTTTTTTTTAGTTATCGTAGGTAATTTTCACATATATTACTAGGTATAATAATTGTACTTATGTATACCTGTGCTTAAATAAACACCTATTTATTGCTTCCCTGTGAATAATAATGGACAACGCTCTTGATATGGCGGACAGGCTCTAGTGCTGGAATCCTGGGTACAGGAAAACAGCCTCAGGGATGCCAGGAAATATTCAGCCTCAAGGCGGTCAGAGAGTGGACTAACTTGCGTGAAGCATTCGAGGCATAATAGGACCCATTAAGCTAGGAGTGTTTAATGACCACCACACCAATTCAGTGGATGTTAGTCCCCAAAATTCGAGTTCTTAAACAATGTCATCTAGTACAGTGACTTATGGTGGCTATTGTCACGGCGTGCACTACATGATACAATTAGCTGTGGATTGTGTGCTGCTATCTAAGAACAACTGTTACAGTATTCATAACAGGGGACAAAAATTAGTTTCCCATTATGGTCCATGATTATATTATTGAGTGAGCTTAATATTTATGATGAATTTACCATCTTTGGTGGGTGTGCCGCTCTCACCTAGCGCGTACACAGTATACGTATCAACTTTTCTGTACTTGACTGTGTAGGCGAAACGTTTCACAATAAAGATACCTAACTGTTGCATATGTGTCTTACCTAACACACAGTATACGTCCCTGATCTAGTGTAAAAAAATGTTCCTGTAAATTTACTAGACTGTATAACCCAAATAATTTCCCTTATAATCATGTACAATGATATATTTAATCTACATTCATTATATAATCATTGAATCGGTTTTATTGTGTATATATTTAATATCCTTATATACGTACATACATATATTAAGTTAGGCTTAAGCACTGGATAACCATGGGCTTTCTACATGCATTATCAAGCGTCGCCCATTTCTGTACAAACAATGTATCATGTGGAAATCATTAATTTACAGAAGCACTCTACCCCAGCATTATTAGCTGAGCAAGTTATATAGTTTACCTGGAGAGAGTTCCGGGGGTCAACGCCCCCGCGGCCCGGTCTGTGACCAGGCCTCCTGGTGGATCAGAGCCTGATCAACCAGGCTAACACATACAAAAATATTTCCTCGTTCTCATAGTAGACAGAGATGTAAACCATAGCACCGTATCATCCTTTGCAGACGATACTAGGATCTGCATGAGTGTCATCCATTGAGGACACGGAAAATCTCCAAGAAGATATAAACCAAGTTTTCCGATAGGCAACGTAGAACAATATGATGTTCAATGAAGACAAACTCCAACTACTCCGTTATGGAAAACTGGAGGAAATAATAGCTAGGACTGAGTATACTATAAATTCAAATCACACAATAGAGCGGAAAAGCAATGTGAAGGACCTGGGAGTGGTATTGTCCGAAGATTTCGCCTTCAAGGACCACAACAATGCCACTATCACATCTGCGAGGAAACTGATAGAATGGATAATGAGAACATTCAAGACAAGAGATGCCAAGTCAATGATGATGCTTTTTAAATCACTTATCTTTAGGCTGGAATACTGCTGTTCATTAACATCCCCATTGAAGGCAGGTGAAATTGCAGATCTAGAGAATGTACAGAGAACCATTACTGCACGTATAAGTTCCATCAAACACCTTACCTACTGGGAACGCCTGGAAGCACTTGACTTGTACTCACTGGAGCGCAGGCGAGAGATATATCATAATCTACACCTGGAAGATTCTGGAGGGACTGGTCCCTTACCTGCACACAAATCACTCCCTACGAAAGCAAAAGACTTGGCAGGCGATGTAACATACCCCCTGTGAAAAGTAGGGGCGCCACTGGTACACAAAGAGAAAACAACAAGTGCCCAGGGCCGAAGACTTCAACAGCTTCCCACCAGCCATAAGGGGCATTACGGGAAGACCCCTGGTTGTCTTCAAGAGGGAACTGGGCAGATACCTAAAGTCAGTGCCAGATCAGCTGTGGTTCGTACATTCGGCCAGCAGTAACAGCCTCGTTGATCAGGTCCTGATCCACCAGGCGGTCTGGTCATGGACCGGGCCGCAGGGGCGTTGATCCCAGGAATGCCCTCCAGATACAACACTACCAGGAGAGTGAATCCATTTACAACCGACCACTTAGGAGGGGCCGTAAGCTAAGCCATAGAGGCCTAGCTTATGGCTAGGTAAGTACAATAATTAAGAAATTGTATGCCTGAATAAAGAAAATTTCTTGCAGAACTTCAGAATAATAATTGATGTGTAGTCTGACTTTTCCTCTCCATTCTTGGGTTAAACTGACTGCTTCCCGTTCCACGAGGGCGCTGCAAGACCTATGGGTTTAGCTCTTCCCCTAAATATAATAATTAATCAGTAGGCTAGACCAATATCAAGGACAAGATGTTTTACGGGGTGGATGCCAAGGCTTCTGGGGTCTCTTGCCACTAAAACCTCATTTTTACATTTCATACCGGTGTTAATAACGTCAACCAGCCTTGTTTCTGTTCTTATGTTCTTAAATACGTAGTAGGGTGGCAGACAGCAGTCATCCAGGGAGGTACTACCGTCTTTACAAATGAGTGTGAAATGGAAACCTATTACCTGGCCTGGTGGCTAAAGCTTCCGCTTCACACTCGGAGGGCCCGGGTTCGATTCCCGGCGGGTGGAAACATTTCGACACGTTTCCTTACACCTGTTGTTCTGTTCACCTAGCAGCAAATAGGTACCTGGGGGACAAGATTAAGGACCCCAATGGAAATAAGCTAGACAGTCCTCGATGACACACTGACTTAATTGGGTTATCCTGAGTGGCTAACCCTCCGGGGTTAAAAATCCGAAACGAAATCTTATCTTACATGTGGTTTCTGTACGATGACTTGAGAAAATGTCTTCTGATTGGCGTCAAACTTTCAACACTTGTGTATCCAACTCATTACGATTGTGACCAGATATAAACATGTATATAGTTCATTATCACTAACTTTTTCAACTATCAAAACTACAGTCCAGTTCCTGAACCCCATTATGTACCTCCGTAATCTTTTAACTACTGCCCACAGGATGGGTATGGGGTGTATAATATAAAAATATTAAACTAAACTGAAATTTGCGTATTCCACGTATAAGTTTGAGAGTTTTATTATCGCTATATTATAGTAATTTTCTGAAAAAAAAAATGATCTCGGTAATAAGAATTGTAGTGTGCTGGCAGCCTAATCAATACTAATTTTAAGTGAATATTTAAAAATGATAATGTATGCCAGTTTAATATAATTTCCTACAATCAAGTCTATCATGGAAGTAAACAACCCACATGTCAGGTAATAAGAAATGGTTATCGTTACAGGTTATATTTGTGTATCAGTAATAGTACTAATTTCTCGTGTGTTTCTGCAGTATCTCTCATTTATATTATTATTTTTAAACTCATTCTAAATAGTAATGAATTTCATTTTTCCTTGGAATATTAACAATCTAAACACGTTATACATAGGATATACACACCAGGAGGTGTATTTCTTTCGATATACTTTAATTCTTGTTATAGGGATTAAAGTATTGATTGGTGGTTAAAAAATCTTACGCGCACCCTTAATGACCGTAATGTAGTCTATAGGCTTACATTAAACCCCATTAATCAGCCAAACGATATAAATATTTCTAATTTTTATAAGTTATTTTTTTCCATCCCGTTTTCAGCGCGAGTGCTTGTCTATACATATTGGTCAAGCAGGATGCCAGATAGGGAATTCCTGCTGGGAGTTGTATTGTGTGGAACATGACATCACACCTGAAGGTGAGATAACCGTAGCACCAACAAACTTTCAAGGATTCTCGGCTCTCGACACATTCTTCATGGAAACATGCTCTGGGAAAGTTGTTCCCAGAGCACTATTCATAGATCTGGACCCTACTGTAATCGGTGTGTTAAATAATTTACTCTTGTGTTTTTTTTTACTATTGCATTTTATTAAGACAATGTATTTTTGCATATTTTTCCAATATATACATTTTCTTAGCGTGCGTGTGCGCGCTCATATGCGTGCATATTATTATTAGTATTATACGCAAATAACCAGCACATAGGAGAGAGAAAAACTTATGAATTTTGACTACAAATGGTCCAAGTCGGACAGGAACGTTGTAGGCTTTGCTTTCTATGTGCGAGTTATTTGTGTATTGTTTCAGTCACGGTACTGTGATTTTTTTGCTCTTTATTAATGTTCACGAAATCGTAATAACACTTGCAAACAAATCACAGAACGGGTGAGATCGAACCCATGGCAAGCGAACGGGACTCGCAGCAGTGGTTTTAAGTTGGAAAAATTCAGATTCAGGAAGGATATAGGAAAGCACTGGTTTGGTAATAGTTTTGGATGAGTGGAACAAACTCCCGAGTACCGTCAAAGAAGCTAAGACGTGTAGTTTTAAAAATAGGTTAGATAAATACTTGAGTGGGTGTGAATTGGGACCTGACTAGCTTCTGCTACTAGGTCAGATGCCGTGCTCCTTCCTTGAGTGAATGTGACCTAACCCACCAGCTTGGGCTGGTGGGGGACTTTGACCTGCCTCGCATGGGCCAGTAGGCCTGTTGCAGTGTTCTTTCTTATGTTCTTATGTTAAAACCTACAGCTGGCAGTACACTGGCTTGCAAGTCTTAGTCACTTGCCATGCATTCGAGCTCCACATTTTATTTTATTTTATAATAATAATAATTATTATTATCATTATTATTATTATTATTATTTGTTGTAGTAGTAATTAACAGCATTATGTTTGAAATATACCCAGTTGTATTTTAACCTTAGAAGTAAAAATCATTGGTACACGCTTGGATCGTCAACATTTTGAGACTTAATCTGTTACATCACGTGCAAACTTCCTATAGCGGTTTAGCGGATGATTGTGTGCAAGTGGGAAGCTGAGGAATTATACAATCTCAAGTGCAAATGGTTTTGGTAGCTTTTGCATAGCACAACTTGCTGTACACCAGTGATCATACTAAATTCACATATGCAGATTTTTCTTATTGCATAGGTTATTACGGTTAATAATATTGATATTTTTAATTAAAAATTAATAACTTCTTTTTCTCAGACCAAATTCGTAAAGGCCCATACCATAAACTATATCACCCAGAACTACTGATCTCCGGGAAGGAAGACGCAGCAAACAACTATGCCCGTGGCCACTATACGGTAGGCAAGGAAATTATTGACGTGGTTCTTGACCATATCCGAAAGATGGCGGACAACACCGATGGTCTCCAGGGCTTCCTAGTTTCCCATTCATTTGGTGGTGGCACAGGATCAGGATTCACTGCCTTACTAATGGAGAGATTATCAGTGGAATATGGCAATAAGAGTAAGCTGGAATTTGCAATTTACCCTTCACCCCGTATTGCTACTGCAGTTGTGGAGCCTTACAACTCCATATTAACAACACACACTACTCTTGAACATACAGATTGTGCGTTCATAATTGACAATGAAGCTGTTTACGACATCTGCCATAGAAAATTAGGGGTCGATCGCCCTACGTATAACAACCTGAACCGTCTTGTTAGCCAGGTTGTTTCTTCTATCACAGCTTCACTCCGTTTTCCAGGTTCTCTTAACGTAGACTTAGCTGAATTTCAGACCAACTTAGTGCCCTATCCAAGGATTCATTTTCCACTGGTCACTTATGCGCCCATAGCTTCTGTAGAGAACGCATATCACGAACAAATGTCTGTTTCCCAGATCACCAATGCTTGTTTTGACCCTACCAACCAGATGGTCATGTGTGACCCGCGAAATGGAAAGTATGTGGCATGCTGTCTTCTCTACCGGGGTGATGTAGTGCCTACGGATGTTCATGCAGCTATTGATGCTGTCAAGAGAAATCGGTTCATTCAGTTTGTTGAATGGTGTCCAACAGGTTTCAAGGTTGGAATGAATTCCAAGCCTCCTGCAGTAGTCCCATGTGGGGATCTTGCAAAAGTATGTCGTGCACTGTGTGGGCTTTCCAATACAACAGCAATCATTGAGGCTTGGGCTCGTCTAAATTATAAGTTCGACTTGATGCATTCAAAACGAGCCTTTGTTCATTGGTATGTTGGAGAGGGAATGGAAGAGGTTGAGTTCAAAGAAGCTCGTGAAGATCTAGCAGCACTTGAGAAAGATTATGAAGAAATTGCCGGGGATGGTGATGATGATAGTGGTGATGAAAGTAAGTTTTAAAGTCTTGAACTATAATAAAAATGGTTTACACTGTAGTTAATCTAAACACTTAAATGTTAGATTTGTTTTGAAAGGAATTTTGACTTCATCATTCAATTAATCATATATGAAAACAAGACATTGCTTTAAGGATTTGGAAAATTTTATGCATTGAAATTTCAAATTATGTCCAAAATATTTTTCCTTGTGAAAATATAGCTTGCTCATGTTATTAACATGTGAATAAAAATAAACTGAAATCTTGTAAAACAGACTATTTTATTCTAAATATGTCCAACCTTGAGGTCGTGGTATCATAACTTTAAAATAACTTAAAATTGATAACTGTCGTGTCAGTTTGTTTAGGACTATCATTAATTTTTTTTTTTTTTTTAATTGTAATTTTTAACATCAAACTTTTGGTGCAGTCATTAGCTACTCTTGATTCTCTGCATTTTTTTTTACTCTGTGAATATTTTAAAACCCCTTAACACAATTATGTACATCCTTTACTTGTTCCATTATGTAGATGATGTTTTATTATCTGATCTTCGGTCTTTTGATTTGAATAACCGGAAAGGTGGGCAGATGAATGTTTAATTTCCTAACAAAAAGAACCCAAAGAGTAATAGTAAACAGAGAGCAGAGGATGCCACATTAAAAAGCTATATTCCTCAAGGTACGGTATTCGTCTCATTCTTTCTTATTCTCATATCCGATAGACAGGGATATGAACCACACTCATCTAGTTGTGGTTCCAGGGGTCGAGTCACAGCTCCTGGTCCCGCCTCTTCAGTTGCCGCTACTAGGTCACTTCCTGCTCCATGAGTGCACGACAAACTCAAATCAATAGTGTGGAAGACCAATGTGAGAGACTTGTAATAACAATGTCAAGACGATCTCGCATTCAAGGACCCCCCTCAAAGGAGGCTCCTTGATGCTGGTGAGGGGCTCTTGATCTGGGGAATTGGATCTGTGCTCCAGTTCCCAGAATTGAGCCTGAATACCTTCCACCCCCTCCCCTCATACGCTGTATAATCCTATGGGTTGAGCGCTCCCCAATGATTATAATAATAATCGCATTCAAGGAGCACAACAGTGCTATCGCAACTACAAAGAAAATGTGATGAATGGTTTTGAAAACCGACAAGTTGAAGAATTGAGACACTTAGGCAACATATGGAATCTTTATTGAAGAAACGTTTTTCCAATCAGTGGCTTCATCAGTCCATTACAAAGCAGGAAGGTATAAGGAGAGGAGGAGTTTGAGGTAATCAGTCCCTCACCCTGGCAATGACGTTCAGTCCATCACTCTTGTATGAATTACAGTATAGGGCCAGAGACCCCTCAAGGAAGGTTCCTTGATGTTGGTGAGGGGCTCTTGATTTAGGGAATTGGATCTGTGCTCCAGTTCCCCGAATTAAGCCTGAATGCCTTCCACATCCCCCCCCCCAGGTGCTGTATAATCCGCCGGGTTTAGCGCTTCCCCTTTGATTATAATAATAATAATAAGGGCCAGAGAGGTGGCTTATATACTGCAGTCAGGTGAGTAGAAGCAGGAGGAGGCGGGATCACAATTGGACCATCCACTAGTGTAAGTAGGTATTCGTCCAAAAGTTGGGCAAGTGTTGAAGAATTCTTTGTATCAAGATTCCACAATGTTGCGGTGTCTGACAGATGTGATGAATGGTTTTGAAAACCGACTAGTTGAAGAATTGAGACACTTATGCAACATATGGGAATCTTTATTAAAGAAACGTGGGATCTTGATACAAAGAATTCTTCAACACTTGTCCAACCTTTGGACGAAGACCTACTTACACTAGTGGATGGTACCACTGTGATCCCGCCTCCTGCTTCGATTCACCTGACTGCAGTATATAAGCCACCTCTCTGGCCATATGATGTACTTCCTACAAGTGATGGACTGAACACATCGATGCCAGGCTGAAGGACTGATTACCTATCGCAACTACAAAGACGAAAAGCTCTGTTCCAAAGGTGAAAAGCTCTGTTCCACAAGGCACAGTACTCGCTCCCATCTTGTTCCTCATCCTCATATCCGACATAGACAAGGATGTCAGCCACAGCACCGTGTCTTCCTTTGCAGATGACACCCGAATCTGCATGACAGTGTCTTCCATTGCAGACACTGCAAGGCTCCAGGCGGACATCAACCAAATCTTTCAGTGGGCTGCAGAAAACAATATGAAGTTCAACGATGAGAAATTTCAATTACTCAGATATGGTAAACATGAGGAAATTAAATCTTCATCAGAGTACAAAACAAATTCTGGCCACAAAATAGAGCGAAACACCAACGTCAAAGACCTGGGAGTGATCATGTCGGAGGATCTCACCTTCAAGGACCATAACATTGTATCAATCGCATCTGCTAGAAAAATGACAGGATGGATAATGAGAACCTTCAAAACTAGGGAGGCCAAGCCCATGATGACACTCTTCAGGTCACTTGTTCTATCTAGGCTGGAATATTGCTGCACACTAACAGCACCTTTCAAGGCAGGTGACATTGCCGACCTAGAAATGTACAGAGAACTTTCACGGCGCGCATAACGGAGATAAAACACCTCAATTACTGGGAGCGCTTGAGGTTCCTAAACCTGTATTCCCTGGAACGCAGGAGGGAGAGATACATGATTATATACACCTGGAAAATCCTAGAGGGACTAGTACCGAACTTGCACACGAAAATCACTCACTACGAAAGCAAAAGACTTGGCAGACGATGCACCATCCCCCCAATGAAAAGCAGGGGTGTCACTAGCACGTTAAGAGACCATACAATAAGTGTCAGGGGCCCGAGACTGTTCAACTGCCTCCCAGCACACATAAGGGGGATTACCAACAGACCCCTGGCAGTCTTCAAGCTGGCACTGGACAAGCACCTAAAGTCAGTTCCTGATCAGCCGGGCTATGGCTCGTACGTTGGTTTGCGTGCAGCCAGCAGCAACAGCCTGGTTGATCAGGCTCTGATCCACCAGGAGGCCTGGTCACAAACCGGGCCGCGGGGGCGTTGACCCCCGGAACTCTCTCTCCAGGTAAACCTCAAACTCCTCCCCTTATACCTTCTTGCTTTGTATTGGACTGATGAAGCCACTGTGTGGTGAAACGATACTTCAACAAAGATTCCCATATGTTGCATAAGTGTCTCAATTCTACAAAGAAAATGATGGGTTGAATAACTAGAACTTTCAAAACAAGAGAGGCCAAGCCAGTAATGATATTCTTCCGATCACTTGTCCTCTCTCGGCTGGAATATTGCTGTATACTTATAGACCCCTTCAAGATGGGCGAAACTACATAACTAGAGAATGTATAAAGAACCTTTATAGCTCGCACAAAAACAAATAAGCACCTAAATTACGGGAAGCCTTTGAAGTCCTTCAAACTGTACTCCTTTGCAGATGACCCGAATTAGCATGAGTGTCCTCCAGTGAAGACACCGCAAGACTCCAGGCGGACATCAACCAAATCTTTAAATGGGCTGCAGAAAACAATATGAAGTTCAATGATGAGAAATTTCAATTACTCCGATATGGAAAACGTGAAGAAAGTAATAATTAAAACTACATCGGAGTATAAAACAAATTCCAACTATACAATTGAGCGAAAAACTAACGTAAAAGACCTGGGAGTGATCATGTCAGAGGATCTCACTTTCAAAGACTATAACATTGTTTCAATCGCATCTGCTAAAAGAATGACAGGATGGATAATAAGAACCTTCAAAACTAGGGATGCCAAACACATGATGACACTCTTCAGGTCACTTGTTTTATCTAGACTGGAATATTGCTGTGCACTAACAGCACCTTTCAAGGCAGGTGAAATTTGCTGACCTAGAGAGTGTACAGAGAATCTTCACAGCACATAACTGCGATAAAACACCTCAATTACTGGGAACGCTTAAGTTCCTCAACCTGTACTCCCTCGAACGCAGGAGGGAGAGATACATGATTATATACACCCGTAAAATCCTAGAGGGATTAGTACCAAACTTGCACACGAAAATCACTCCGTATGAAAGCAAAAAGACTCAGCAGACAGTGCAACATCCCCCTAATGAAAAGTAGGGGCGCCACTAGTACGATAAGAGACAACACAGTTAGTGTCAGGGGCCCAAAACTGTTCAGCTGCCTTCCAGCATACAAGAAGGCACTGGACAGGCACCTAAAGTCAGTACCTGACCAGCCGGGCTGTGGTTCGTACCCCTCAGGGAAGGTTCCTTGATGTTGGTGAGGGGCTTTTGATTTAGGGAATTGGATCTGTGCTCCAGTTCCCCGAATTAAGCCTGAATGCCTTCCACATCCCCCCAGGCGCTGTATAATCCTACAGGTTTAGCGCTTCCCCCTTGATTATAATAATGTGATTCGTACGTCGGGTTGCGTGCGGCCAGCAGTAACAGCCTGGTTGATCAGACCCTGATCCACCATGAGGCCTGGTCACAGACTGGGCAACGGGGGCGTTGACCCCCGAAACCCTCTCCAGGTATACTCCAGGGATGTCATGAAATATTTCTTCAGCTTCTGAGTGAACAAAAAGTGACCTGAGCGAAGAAGTGCTAGACGTGGACTGGATATGTAACTTAAACAATAGGTATATAATAAATAAATAATAGTAATGAGTGACCCTGGTAGCAGCAAGTTAACAAGCAAGGCCACAAGCTGAAAATGGATTTCTGCAACCACAAACAGGTTAGTAGTCTAGCACATTTATCCGTTTTTTCGGGCAAAGCACCCTAGTCTGCGGTAGGCAACCGACTCCAGAGTTGTGGCCATAGTGTATGTACCACTCTTCGAACTGTCACTATTTTCCCCAGCAACATCAATATTTAAAACAAGGAGCTTCAGCCGCTCATGGCAGTGTGGGCGTCTTAATCTCCCCTTCCCTGAACATTAAGAATAAGAAGTTTATTTTGACATGATACATGGTTGTACAGAAGAATATAATGCCAAAAGCCCCTTTGTATGCACAGCATTTCGGGCAAACTTAAAAATTAAATTAAGATTAGGAAGGCAATAACATTTCATATGGTCATTAGATAAATTACAGTGAGTACGAGAGATTTGAATATTCTATTAGGTATTTCTACATGGCTTTGATAAGTTTAGTAGAGAATAGTTACAATATTGAGTTAGTTTATAAAGATTACAGTATTACAATAGAACAATTTGAAACAATTTACAGTATGATGTATTACAATTTAGTACCATTTAAAACAATGAAACTTAGACATCCTAATTTTG